TACTCTTCTTCGACTTGCTCCTCAGTCATATCAACGACGTCCATCATATCTGCAAGCTTGTCACGATGACCTTGACGATTCTTGTATTGTCGAGAGTAATATATAAGCATAATACTCTTAATCGTCTCAGGATTAAGTTGACCACGTCGGTGGCCACATACGTCCCTTGCGGCACTAAAGACTCGCTCAACTCCAGACTCAGCAGCAGGAATACAAAGTATATCACGAGCCATTGCTGATAGACCAGGAAATTGCTCTTCCTTTTGTTGCCAAAATAGCAATATCTTTGTGTAGATATGTGCTATACAAGTTAGAATAAGATTATCAGAAGATTACCAGAAACTTACGAGCATCAAGATAGAGATCAGCCTCATTCACATATTCCTCTCACTGGCCCCGAGTCCTGCTCTTTATAAAGAGTCCTAAACTGTTGTTCAAACTCTGTCTCCCAATTTCGTATTGAAAAGTCAAGCTTGCAAACCTTTTTGTTAAAGTGTGAGAGCTTCACACTAGGATTTAAGATACTAGCAAATGCGAAGATAGATCCAGTATTTGTGTATAGCTTGTTATAATACTTCCTAATCTTTTTCTCTGCAGCATCGATTGCTAAAGTCATCTTTGCTGCCCATGGATATGTCTTATGCCGTAGCCGGTGCCGAGTTCCTTCAAGCGTTGATAAGAGTTTTTGATATACTCCAAGTGTATAGCAGACAGTAGGTCCGGCTGACGATCCAATGTTTGTTGTAAAGAAGTTGAATGGCCTTGTAAGATCAATGATGTATTCGATGTGCTTCCATTCTAGCTCGCTAAGTCTGAACATGTGAGCACCATGATCGCCTCGAGTATATTGATTGATTGTTGACTTGAGTTGCTGTGCTCGCAGAAGCATATGGCATGTCGAATCCCATCGAGTTGATACATCTTGAATAAGTCGAAGAAGCCTCTGAGATGATTGACCCCGGTTCATGTTTGCCTTTTGCAAAGTCATAAACCTGTTCCTTCGAGTTATGACTTGAATTAACAAAGATAGTGAGCTTCCGGAGCTATGAGATATTAGAAAAGACTACCAGAAGTTTACCAGAACTAACAAGAGAATATATACCTTTCCAAGTGTAAATCCAATACCCTTGTCCTTCTGCAACTTTGCAAGGCCCTCCATCTGATTCTCTTCTTCCCAGTTCATTAAGATCTCTTGATTTGTTGGCGTAATCCGGATTCGACCAAGGAGAGCACTAAGGGCAAGTTGAATAACGTGAGCTAGGCAGGGTATGTGTTGTACTTTTCCTCCAATGAAATGCTCGTTGTCTGCAATACTATCAAGCATTATTTCCACATCTCTCATCATTGAAGTGTTGTTTGACGCATTATCAGTCATAATGGATATAATTCGTCCTTCTAAATGCTGCCTTGTGATAACTTTTTCAAGTATTCCACATAACTCAGCACCAGTATGCTCTGTATATATAGGTTCAAACCCAATCAAGACCTCTTGCATTTTCCAATGACGGTCGATAAATGATGCAATAACACCCATAAATGAAAGTCGAGTAACACTTTGTTACAACGGAACAAGAAGGCTGGCCAACTACAGGACAGGAAGGAGGGAGGTCGCATGAGACCGGCCCTGGTACCTGGAGGGGCAGCGGGGAATAGTAGTTCCGAAAGTATCACGTGACGGACTCGCAGGATGATGAGAAGAGTCCTAAGAGTCCAGGACTCCGAGGACTCGAGTGAGTTCCCAGGAGTCCACTAGGCACGTGATGGACTCGCAGGATGATGAGAAGAGTCCTAAGAGTCCAGGACTCCGAGGACCAGTGTTCCCATTAGTATAATACTTAAGTATTCGGGCCATTATGATACGGGCCGTATCAATACGGTACGGGTGAAGCTTGATATGATACTAGTGAGCTCTGTATCAATACTTAAGTATTAATACGGGCAATACTTAAGTATTTCATGTAATGTTAAAAAAAATTGAAGCTGTAAAAACTGTATACTCTATAACCCTGTGAATTTCAGAACATATTGAACTAGCTAGATATCATAGTCATCGCTGCCTCTTGCAACAATGTATCTGGGAGTGTTGACAGCTCATCATCTACAAACGGCAAAGCTGTACTCTTATTCTTCTTAAACCAAGACTTCAAGCACTCAACAGCTTGAATTGCCATAATACCTAGCCTGTTCCTACGGTCGGAAATCGTGATTTTCGCACCAGAGAACAGCCTTTCAGGCGCTGCAGACATTGAGGGTATTGATAACAAATCTAATGCCATTACACTTAAGTTTGGAAATGTAGCCCGTTGAGTAGGCTCAGCCCACCATGCTCTCGCATCATCAGTTTTAACAATTGGGGCTTGTAAATACTGAGTATATTCATCTTGAATAACGTCAATACCCCGCTTTTGTGTACGCCATGTAAGAAACTCATTCGAAAGCGGCTTCTCAGTATCTTCACCTTCAACTTCTGCGATCTCTGCACTAACTGCCAATGCTTTGTATTTGTTGACCCACAGCTCCTCAACCTTGACACGTGCTTCAGCAACCCAATCAGCCTCCCATTCTGATTTGAAGTAAGTCCACTTCCATTGTGGGCATAATACTAACGCCGCTGTATATGCCGAAGTCCTGTCTGTCATACTGTAGTATTTATCCAACTTCTTCCACCCAGCATTACAACAAGGACCAAGGAACGGGTCCATTGCATAATCATTCTTCGCAGTTTCAAACACGTGAAGTAAGAAGTCCATCGATTGGAGTGTTAAATCAATGCTCGAGGCATAACCTTCTGTAGCAAGTGTTGCATCTGCAAAGTTCTTGAGAATACAGGCCATATTTCGAAGGTCCTGCCAGTCCCCTTGTGAAACTACTTAAATATTAGTAAATAATTAAATTTAAGAGACATAAATATGTACTTACGGAGGTCATTCTCATTCTCCTTGAATTTTACGCAGAACAGTTCTATAGCATGTTGTACCCGTAGCGCCCGTTGTAGCATTGAATACCAGCTATTCCAACGTGTTGAATTATCTCTCAACAAACATAGGTTATTGCTCATCAACTTAAAGCTGGCGATACGTTGTGGGCTGCGTTGGATATAAACTACAATGTTATGTAGTTTACCAAGTGGACCTTTCTTTCTCCACTGCTCCATCTCTATTTCTGTCGGCGACGACAATAGCTCCGTATTATTATCCTGTGAGAGGTCCTCCTCATCACTTGCAAAGAGAAAGGCTTGAACAGCGAGGTTGATCACATGGCCGTTACACCGTAATCTATGTCGCCTAGGGTCCCATATTATCTCATGCTCCTCTTTCAGCTTTTTCGAAAGCTCCTTGATCATTGTATCATTATTTGTTGCATTGTCCATTACAAAATAACCAACTTTTGAAGCAATGCCATAGTCGTTGATAACATCAAGAATTTCCACAGCTTGGTTCTCACCAGAATGCTCGCCATTAACTTCTCGTAGTGCAAGAACAGAGTTATCTAGATTACCAGTTGCTGATATATAGTGAGCGACAATGCCGAGGATTGCAAGGGAATTTGGAGAAGTCCATAAGTCCACTGTAAAGTGTATATTTGTAAGGGCAGCTTGAACAGCCTGTCGAATGATGACCTTCTCTTCTGTATATTTATGAAGGACCCAATCGTGAATTGTTGTCGAGCTATGAGGCAGCCATTCATTGATGGCTGGATTTAAATAGAGAAGCATGCTATATATATATTAATAAAAGCCTTAAATCATGAAAGGTAATACTACTTACGTGCGGAACTCGGGGATTGAAACCATTCGGAATGCAATTCCACATGCTACTATCCAGCGCACATAGAGATCTTCAAGAACACGTGGATCTAAAGGCCTAACAGCAGTGACATCGTTGAGTCTACGGCGTTTATGATTGATTGTGTGTGGCCTGGCAAAGGCTACAGCTATTGTGGATTGATATCCATCAATGCGTTGCTCTTGTGGTGTTTTCAAGTCAATGGAATGGCGCTCCTTTAAGTGCTTGATGATGATATTAGTGCCCCCACCAACAGTATACTCCTTAGAACAGAACTTGCAACACCAGGACTCCTTGCCGTAGATATTGAAGGTTATTTCATAATGTCCTACTTTTGTAAAGTCCCATATCGGTGATGTGCGTAGCTTAGCTACCTTTGACGTAGTATGGGAGGTAGATTGGGACGGAATAGAGCAGCCAATAGTTGATGAGGTTGTAGTATCCTGTTCAAACTGATTAAATTGTTCACTTTCGATAGTAGATACAACATCAGAAGGTTCAGAAGCCATGATGTAGGCTGAATCATAAGACGTAAGGATAAAATGCAGAGTTTTCACGACGACCTGAAAATTGTGAAAGGATCACGTGAAATACTTAAGTATTGCCAGTATAATACTGAAGTATGGCCAGCAATACTTAAGTATAATACTAGCGGCGAAGAGGTGTTATGATACGGGTCGTATGAATAATTAAGTATAATACGGGCCCGTATACGAGAGCCTCCCGTATACGGGCAATACTACTGAAAACACTGCCGAGGACTCGAGTGAGTTCCCAAGAGTCCACTAGGCACGACGCCACTATATAAGTAGATAGTATTTCCTTAGATAGGAGCTTCGTGCTCAACTCAATACAGTATTTGTTATATACTAGTAACGTGTTACTTGAAGCCTTTGTGTCTGATCCCCTGCCTCCTCTGATAAGTAAACCTTTACGCAAGAGAACCTCTGTGTCTTCTATCGTTTAGAAGTCAGCGTTACACTCAGGGGTAAGTCAGAGGTTAACACCTACCCCTAGAAGCGGCCGTATCTGTAGTGCAAATTGGGAATCCCCACGCGAGCGACCCCTGTCGCTCGCGCGCGCACGGGCCATTGTGGAGCGATTATTGTGCAGCAAATTGGGAGACCCCCGGGACGGCGCAGGCGCATCAAGCACGCATACAGAGTATGCAACGAAGGGCGAATAGCGCACACACACCGCTCGCGCAAGGGAAGGATGGCGGCCAGCTTCTCCTACCTCGCAACTCACGGGGTGCTGCTCTGCCGCGACTGCGGGACCTGCCTCATGCCCGCACGCGCCAGCCAGGAGTGGCACCTGAGGCACCCACCCCACGACCTCAAGGGGCCGGAGCTGCGCACCCTGCTCGACCTCTTCGCGACGCATGAGCTGCGGCCCCCGGGACAGGTCGCCCTGCCAGACCAGCCCTGCATCGCCATCGAGGGACTGCGCCGCCATCCGGCATTCTCCTGCATCCTCTGCGACGACAGCCGGCCGACCCTGACCCGGTCCGGGCCGGCCATCAGGGCGCACGTGTCCCGGGAGCACGGGCAGAAGCCGTCGCAGCAGAGTGAGGGTGGCGCGTGGCAGAGATGCACGGTGCAGACCTTCTTCGCAAAGACCGAGCATGTCCGGTACTTTGTGGTTACAGACGACGACAGGGCGGAAGGGGACGCAGCTACTGCCGCCATCGCCCTCGAGCCGCAGGAGCAGGCCTTCTTCGACCTGGCCGACGCGGACGCGACCATGGTAGCGGACGACATCAAGACGGAGGGCAACAAGGTGCACGGCTTCGACAGCCACCCCTCGGCTGCGGTCCCGTGGCTGAGGCGGACTGGCATCGAGAACCACGTGCGGGGCCTAGAGAAGGACGAGATGCACGCCTCCTTTGCGCTGCCGAAGAGCGCAGATGAGGGAGAGCCCGAGCTGTTCCTGATGCTCGAGGTCATGGACGAGATCCTCGCTGAGGTGCACGGCTGGTGCTTCGACGGGCCGGACTGCATGCTGACGTGGCCGAGGCAGCTCGCGCTGAGCCGCTTCCATGGCGCCCCTACCTCATCGGCACCAGCCAGTTGCAGGGCAGGCAGGGTGCGCGGCTTCGACCCCAAGAAGGAGCCATCCACACTACCCCTAGAAGCGGCCGTATCTGTAGTGCAAATTGGGAATCCCCACGCGAGCGACCCCTGTCGCTCGCGCGCGCACGGGCCATTGTGGAGCGATTATTGTGCAGCAAATTGGGAGACCCCCGGGACGGCGCAGGCGCATCAAGCACGCATACAGAGCATGCAACGAAGGGCGAATAGCGCACACACACCGCTCGCGCAAGGGAAGGATGGCGGCCAGCTTCTCCTACCTCGCAACTCACGGGGTGCTGCTCTGCCGCGACTGCGGGACCTGCCTCATGCCCGCGCGCGCCAGCCAGGAGTGGCACCTGAGGCACCCACCCCACGACCTCAAGGGGCCGGAGCTGCGCACCCTGCTCGACCTCTTCGCGACGCATGAGCTGCGGCCCCCGGGACAGGTCGCCCTGCCAGACCAGCCCTGCATCGCCATCGAGGGACTGCGCCGCCATCTGGCATTCTCCTGCATCCTCTGCGACGACGGCCGGCCGACCCTGACCCGGTCCGGGCCGGCCATCAGGGCGCACGTGTCCCGGGAGCACGGGCAGAAGCCGTCGCAGCAGAGTGAGGGTGGCGCGTGGCAGAGATGCACGGTGCAGACCTTCTTCGCAAAGACCGAGCATGTCCGGTACTTTGTGGTTACAGACGACGACAGGGCGGAAGGGGACGCAGCTACTGCCGCCATCGCCCTCGAGCCGCAGGAGCAGGCCTTCTTCGACCTGGCCGACGCGGACGCGACCATGGTAGCGGACGACATCAAGACGGAGGGCAACAAGGTGCACGGCTTCGACAGCCACCCCTCGGCTGCGGTCCCGTGGCTGAGGCGGACTGGCATCGAGAACCACGTGCGGGGCCTAGAGAAGGACGAGATGCACGCCTCCTTTGCGCTGCCGAAGAGCGCAGATGAGGGAGAGCCCGAGCTGTTCCTGATGCTCGAGGTCATGGACGAGATCCTCGCTGAGGTGCACGGCTGGTGCTTCGACGGGCCGGACTGCATGCTGACGTGGCCGAGGCAGCTCGCGCTGAGCCGCTTCCATGGCGCCCCTACCTCATCGGCACCAGCCAGTTGCAGGGCAGGCAGGGTGCGCGGCTTCGACCCCAAGAAGGAGCCATCCACACTGCGCACAAACTTTGGGTACTGGAAGCAGTTCATGGCGTACTGCTACCGCGTCGCCTACTGCGGCAGCCACTTCACGCCACCTCTGAGCGCGGACCAGGGCAGGCGCCCCGAGGACCGGATCCGGCTGACGGACGAGCAGACGACAGCTTGGGAGGCCGCCCTGGAGTGCGCTGCCGACGGAGACCGCTTAGCGCTGAACGACGCCCTCCGATCCCTCTGCATGGCCCTCGTCTGCCACGAGTTCGGCGGCGACCGCTTCAGCTCGCCGCTCCTCAGCTTCTGCGCGATGCTGAGCGTCAAGCCACGCACCAAGTCGTGGAAGGAGCCGGGCAACTTCAACAGCTGCCTGTCCGGCCTGATCTGGGCTGTGCAGCTGCTCATCTTCAGCACGGCCGCATACCTCGAGAGGTCGGGCGCCGGCAGCACGCTCGAGCACATCAACAGCATCTGCGAGCAGTACCTGCGGCCGGACACGGAGACGCCCATGGGCGAGATACTGGGCTGGCGCCTGCTGCTGTTCGCGGTGTCGAAGGACGGAGTGGGCTCGCACCAGGCGCACTGGGACGAGGACGAGCAGATCCTCACCTACAGGGACGTCGACCTGAACATGGACGAGGTGCAGCAGCTGCTGCTGTCGGAGTTCAGGCAGGCGCAGCATCTGCTGCACGGCGAGCTCATGTTTGGCGCAGCGGGCCTGCCACGGATGCGCGCGTGGGCACTCAAGGACAACCTCGACGCCGACAACTTTAGCTGGCACTTTGGCGAGCACCGGGAGAACGCAGCACTGCTGAAGCCGCTCGCGGGCTCACTGCGCAATGTCATACGGGAGTCGCAGTAACTCCGAGCGTCATTCCTCGACACCACTGCTGCACCTACTGCTGAGGATGGAGAGGATGGAGAGGCTGATGCAGGGGTCACGAGGGTCATGTGGCGACAGAAGGCCATCGACCAGTACGAGGCCGTCGCTGACGAGTTCCTCAAGCGGCTCCTCGTCCTCATCCACATGGCCTCGGGCCAGCCGCTGCGCGAGAGCGAGCTGTTCTCCCTCACCTGGCGCAACACGCAGCGGAGGCGTAGCGTCTACCTCAAGCACGGGCTCGTGATGCTGCACACCACCTACCACAAGGGCCAGCAGCAGACGGGCAGGTTCAAGGACAACATCCGCTTCCTGCCAGCCGCCATCGGAGACCTCCTGCTGGACTACCTCGTCTACGTCGTGCCGCTCCGCCAGGCCTTCCTGCGCCAGTCCTCCCCACGCGCAATCATGTCCGCGTACCTGTGGTGGAAGGACGGGGCCGTGTGGGCCGACAACCGGCTGACGCGGTGCATGGAGCAGGCGTGCGTGCGGGCCAAGGTGCCACGGCTGCACATCGCCAACTGGCGCCAGATGACGGTCAACATTGTGAAGACCAAGTTTGCGGGCGACCTTGCGTGCTTCGAGGGCATCGGGGCCGACGACGACGATGAGGATGCAGAGGAGATGGAGGATGACATCCGGACCATGACGAGGCAGCGGAACCACAGCACGCGGGTGGTGAACCGCAGCTACGCGAACCAGCTGAACGCGAACTTTGGGAATGTGTGGGATGGCCTCATCCATCGGAACCTGCGCGCGTCATCCCTGTGGAGGGGGCTGTGGGATCTCGACACGGTGCTCGGGGATGCGGTCGCAGCAGCAGGGAAGAGGAAGCGCGAGGCGGCAGAGGTGGCAGGGTCTGACAGGCCGCGGATGCTGAAGAGGATTGCCATGGGCGTGCACCGGCCGCGGAAGAGGTGGTCTGCTGCAGCCCTGCTGAAGTGCGCGAGGGGGCTCTACCACGACGACAAGCTGCAGTGGAAGTCGGCCGCACAGGAGCGGGCGATGACGGTCGTCATGTCATGGACGGAGCAGGTCGTCGTCATCCTGGGCACCGGCGAGGGGAAGAGCCTGCTGTTCATGCTGCCCTGTGTCCTGCCTGATGCGGGCGTGACGATCCTCGTGCTGCCGCTCGTGTCCCTGCGTGGCGACCTGCTGCGGCGTGTGCAGGAGCTCGGGATAGACCACCTCGTGTGGGCCCCGGGCGAGGAGCGGGACGCACCGCTGGTGTTCGTCACGGTCGAGGCCGCGAGCACGTCTCAGTTCCGGGCATATGCGCACAGGCTGGCCGCGACGCAGCAGCTCGGCCGCGTCGTGATAGACGAGGCGCACCTCACAATCACGGCGTCCGAGTACCGTCACGCCATGGCCGACCTCGCCCTCATCCGCAGCGTGCGCACGCAGTTCGTCTACCTGACGGCCACCCTGCCGCCAATGCTACAGGCCGCGTTCGAGAGGCAGAACAACCTCGTGAAGCCAAAGGTCGTGCGGGCCTCAACGAACAGGCGGAACCTCTCGTACCTCGTGCAGCGGGCCACAGGGCAGGGGAGCCTGCTAGAAGAGGGCGCGCGGAGGGCCAGGGACGCGTGGCGGGCGAGCGGGCTGCTCGACCAGACCCGAGACAAGATCATACTCTACGTGCGGACACGGGAGGAGGCACAGGACCTGGGCAGCCTGCTCCGCTGCCCGGTCTACACCGCGATGGCCGGCACGGCAGAGGAGAAGCAGGAGCTGCTCAGGACGTGGCTCACAACACCCGAGCTGCCATACATTGTGGCGACGTCGGCCCTTAGCGCCGGCTTCGACTACCCACATGTCCGGCTCGTCATGCACCTGGACGAGCCACGCTCCCTCGTCGACTTTGCGCAGGAGTCCGGTCGGGCTGGGCGCGATGGGAGGGAGGCATACTCAGCCGTGCTCCTGCCGCACAAGTGGCAGTCGCAGGCGGGCAACGCCGGTATGGATGTCGAGACGAGGGCACTCTACCGCTACCTCGAAGGCCGGGAGTGCAGGCGCACGTGTCTGAGTGCGCACCTCGATGAGGCATCAGAGCTTCGGCAGTGCGATGGCACCAGGGATGATGTGGCGTGCGATGTCTGCAGCAGTGGCCCCAGCCCATCACACGTGCCCCGTGACGATGCCACAGAGGCAATGCCGCACACAGGGAGTGCAGCCATCCACGAGAAGCGGCGTTTGGCATACCTCGAGCTCAGCCGCTACAAGGAGGACCTCCTCACCGTGAAGGGGACGTGCCTGCTCTGTCGAGGGCTCGGGAGCAGTGGGACCACCAGTTCACCAAGTGCCACCAGCGGTTCGACTTCTTCAGGGCGCGCGACCAGGCCAGAAGGAGGGGGCAGGGCCGCGGGCCATGGATCTCAGCTTTCGCGGCGTGCTACTGGTGCTACAACCCACAGTCGGTCTGTCAACGTGCAGACCCGGCCAGTGGCCTCGAGCAGTGCAGGTACGCAGACATCGTGATGCCGCTCTGCTACGGCGTGTTCCACAAGACTGGGGGCGAACAGTGGCTGCAGGAGAGGTTCGGTGAGCAGGCAGTGAGGGCAGGGGCAGCAGGGGCGTTCAATGACGTGGATGTGTTCCTGTCATGGTGTGGGCAGGTGGCCGAGTTTGCAGGTGGGAAGGGCATCTGGGGGGTAAAGATCGCAGCAGCAGCGCTGCTCGAGTTCGAGGCATATTAAACTAGCGAATGGGTGTTCGACTGGTAGCGCCATGTATTTATAATATAGACTGTAGCCATAGAGCCATATTAATTATGTCGTGAGTTGAGAAATATTATTCTCTGCAATTTAAATAAATTGGAACGGATTATAATAATCACACTCCTCGACGAGATATGAACTGCATTAAATTACTGACGATGACACATACCGCCAATACATATGATCTTATTACAGCAATATAAGCTGTATATTAAACGTCGAACTCGAGATGTAGGGTTGACATCTTTTTAAGGTTTTCGCCTAACCGCGTTTGGTTGTGACACTCCCGAACATTGATCGTTGCTATGTTTAGGGCATGGGCTGCCCCCTCCCCATCACCCCCAATTAATCGGAAGCGTTTATAGACCCCCATAGCTCGAATACCAGACTAGCCCTTGGGATATTTCGAGGCAATACTCTAGTTCTGATACTCGTACGATTATCTTATAATTACATACCCAGGTGAGACTGGCAAGGACGAATCCCAACATGCAACTCCCATGTCCACACCACTGCCATGGCCTCTCCCGACCAGGGTTAGAAGATGGGGCATTTTTTAACCGAGATCGCCATTTTCTTAGCGAGATGCCATCAAATCCATCCCCCTTTTCATGTAACTGCGTAGCCCTCGCCCAGACGAACGCAGCCATGCTCCTCCCGGCCTCGGATCTCGACGTTTTTTTTTTCAACCCAATTTTGATGGGGTGGTCAGTCATGTGAGTTGCCACGCAGCTAGCGGGCGTGGCTCGTCTCAGTCTATATCAGAACTTCTACCGTCAAGTCCAAACTTAGTCCTTTACACATTTTTTCCTTCTCGCGCGGCAACCACCCGGCATTTCTTCACACTTTCTTCACGCCAGCACACAGCTCAGTCTCGAGTGGCAGAGGGGCACACCATCTTGTGTCATCTGTCTTTGGGGATCCTAGACTATACCATCTTATAGTGAGGTACCATCAAAACCTGAGCTCGCGCAACAACCACCCAACATTTCTTCACACTTTCTTCACGCCAGCACACAGCTCAGTCTCGAGTGGCAGAGGGGCACACCATCTTGTGTCATCTGTCTTTGGGGATCCTAGACTATACCATCTTATAGTGAGGTACCATCAAAACCTGAGCTCGCGCAACAACCACCCAACATTTTTCCACGCTTTCTTCACGCCAGCACACAGCTCAGTCTCGAGTGTCAAGAGGGGCACACCATCTTGTGTCATCTGTCTTTGGGGATCCTAGACTATACCATCTTATAGTGAGGTACCATCAAAACCTGAGCTCGCGCAACAACCACCCAACATTTTTCCACGCTTTCTTCACGCCAGCACACAGCTCAGTCTCGAGTGTCAAGAGGGGCACACCATCCTGTGTCATCTGCCTTTGGGGATCCTAGACTATACCATCTTATAGTGAGGTACCATCAAGACCTGAGCTCGCGACACCATGCCACCAGTACCCTCCATCCAGAAGCGCCACCAGCACCACACAGCCCACTCGCCATATGAGTGGAAGGAGAGGAGGGAGTTCTCCCATAACTGGAAGGCCAAGTTCCGCGGCAATGCCCGGGTCATCACCACAGACCTCGCCTGGACCAACCTCATCACGCCACCCAACACCAAGGTCACCACCACACTGGAGCAGGGCCTCGAGCTCAGCAAGCACCTCACGCTGCTCCAGGGCATCCCCAAGGATGGTGGGAAGGATGGCCTCGACATCCAGCCCGTCACCGTCTTCAACTCTGCTGACAAGGACCCAGAGCAGCTCCTCGTCTACATGAGGGGGGGGCTGAGCCTCCCGGACAGGAACAAGGACCTCTGCCGCCTCATGGCTGGTGCCATTGAGCAGTACACGGAGCTCGCGCCACCCCCCAAGCCCAGCAGTGACAAGAGGCACGAGATGGAGCAGGCCAGGAAGGCTGAGCGCGAGGGGAAGAAGTGGGGAGTCTACCACCTTGGGTTGTGGCACGCCACAGGCCAGACAAATTCGCCTCCCACCATCTGCTCTGACATGCGCAGGACTGGAAATGGCTTCGGGGCCACCCTGGCCCTCTACAAGAAGATGGCCCCCCTCGCGCAGACCATTGGGAGGCTCTTCCAGGAGATCGATCCCAGGGCCTACGAGCAGTACAGGCAGAACTACCTCTGCGAGTGTGCAGCCACGCCTGAGCTGGAGGTCTTCAAGTTCAGCAACAGGAGCTGCTGGCACTGCCTCGCGATCCTGATAAACGCCCAGGTTGGGCCACACAAGGACAACCACGATGTGCTGGATGG